CCTGTCCCAGGCAGTCTTCACCCTCTAGGCACCCCACGAGCCCCCATGCACACCCCAACAAGAAACCTTCCCCCTCGTGCTCCCAGGGGATGTGAGCACCCCAACGAGCCAACCTCTGCCCACACACCCCCAGCACCCAGCTGGGCCTCCTGGCCGACGACACAACATGAAGATTCACCTGCCTCCAGCTCCCTCCAGCTCCCGCAGGTGTTTCACCAGGTGCCTCTCTGGAAAGCCAAAGGTCAGGAACCACAGTTCTGCTGTGCCAGCAGTCAGGTTTCTCTGGAAATCCCTCCCTGCTTATACTGGGAAAGCCCTTCCCTTGGCTGCTGCCTGCACCATTTGTGTGCACAAACCACCATCCAGCAGCCTCTTTCACTGGCACACAAGACAAGCTACTTGGGTTACTCCAGCACAGCTCTATAAGCAAAACCATCTTAGCATTCCCAATGCACAGATACAGGATCAGTGCTAAAACGTTACACATCTAACCAGCCCTGATTCTGACTATACAAAATTACCTTGTTTTCCACCCACCAGTGACTTGCCCAAGGGGAAAAGAACCACATTGAGCCATTGCTCCGTGACATGCAGAAGTGCAAGAGGATGATCAGCTGGAGAGCATAAGCACCTTCACTGACTAATAGAAATAATCCAGAAGGTGTTAATAATTTCCTGTGCACAATTTCAAGTGAAGTCACTTTGCTGCCTATTTTGATTTTTACCATCTTGGGAGAAATAAAAAACACACTTAAAAATTTCCCCACCGGTGCAGCAAATATAATGCCTTATCAAATGAAAGTGATCTTCCAGCTCTGAACTTCAGAAAAGGCAAATCAGGTGGAGAACCTGCAGCATGGGCAGGTCAGGCACAAGGGCTGGAGTTCCCTCACCCCTGGGGGCTGGCTGAGGCTGGAAGCTTAGGGCTCCCCTCCCCAGCTGTGCTTGCTGAGCCGGGGGCAGCAAATCCAGGCTGAGGCTCCCAGGTCCCCTGCGGTGGAACAGAAAAAGCCAGGGGGAGGAAAGAACCAGAGAGAAAAGAACCAGAGAGGAAGACAGGAAAAGCCAAGCTCTAAGGGACTGCAAGGTCGTGCCGCCCTCTTGTGACCAGCAGGACCTGGTGGCAGGGCTGGGCATGTCCCTGCTGCCACTCCCGCTGCTGGTCACTGCCCCGGGCAGGAGCACAGATAAGGTACAAGCACCAGCAAAGGGATGTACCGGCTCAGCCCCACCGGTTTCTGGTGCTCTGGGGTTCAGAGCACTGGGTGTCCAGGCAGGGAGAAGTGGTGGGTAGGGAGCTGGGGGGCTGCCACCCTTCTGCCTCGCTGTTATCCCCTCCAGCATCTTTGTCCCTGCAGATCCAGAGCGTTGCTGGCACTCGGGCATCTCTCTCCTGGACCTGAAAGAAGAATTTCAGGGTCCCTTCCCAGAACAATCCCCTCCAGTGTTGCCAGCAGAGAACAAGGGCTCAAAGGACACAGACCGAGTCCTTGCTCTGCTCCTGAGACATGAAAACTCCGGCACAGCTGCCTGGAACACAGGAACATAAAATGTTTACACACACACACAACAGCAGCAACGGCAGAGGGAAGGATTGATACCTCACCTCTACCAGCATCTACAAACTCCCTGATGCAGACACACAAACAATAGGCATGGAGCATTCAGCCGGTTTCCTGCCCCACCTTCTTTTAACCCAATCCAAACCCCCAGGCTGTAAAAAGTACCTTTCTTTGCCCCAGTACTGTCAGGATCCCTTTGGATCAGTTCCATGCTTCAGGAGAGGCTGGGCCAGCCAAAGGAGCTGGCTCCCATCCTGGTGGGACAGGCCACTCTGTCCCACCAACCCCAGCACACACACAAGATTGCCCACAGCCCTTTCAGTGTGCTTTAATCTACAAATTTTAAAATTAAAACTAATTATTTTCATTGGCTTTGAAAATTCAAACATATACAACAGCCTCAGTTGATAAACAGTATTTAAAAATCTTAGTAGGAAAGAGAGCCTGGCTCGTGCATCAGAAAATCATCTGCTTTATCTACAGAAAATTTAGAACAATTCCTCAAAGGCAGGACATCTGCTCTCCACCTGGCTGCCCTTAGCTGGCTTTAAACAAGAGGGAAGAGACTTTTTTTATCCTGGAAAGCACAACAACTGAGTTATCATATACATTTTGGTAACAAATTAAAAATACACATGGCTGTAAGGATTCCCTGCTGGAGGAAGGTGGTGTGGAACTGCTGCTGGAGCACCCCTTAGTGACCAGGCACTCCCATGGAATCCCACCACTGTAAGGACCAACACCAACAGGAATTCTGGGCAGCCTGTGACTATCAAATAAGCTCGAGGGGTTTTACTTGCCTAAATCCAGAATTCTCCAGTCGTGCTTTAATGTGTCCCTACCCAGAACTGCTCCTAACGCGGGTTGGAGTTATTTCTGCCAGGAACCAGGTGGGCTTTCACACGTGCTGGTATCAAGCAGGTCACACACAATGGAAAGCTGAGTTCTCTCAGCAAGGTCAATCAGGCAATGAGCTACAGCAACTACAACTGCTGGCTGGCCAAGGACATCAACATCCTCTATTCTCTGCTAGAGGAAATAACAATTTAAAAAACCCACCATACACAAGCCATGTAACTGTGTTCAACTGGAGGCACAAACACTTGGAAAACCTGGGTTCCTACCTGCCTTCTGCCAGCTAAAACCTTAGGGCAGGTTACTTTTTAGTGATATAAATCCACTGAAAGATTTTACAGCTTCCATGTGGAAGTAGGACTGCCATAAGTAAAAAAAAAAAAATCCAACCCAAAAAAATCACACCTTCACCATATAACCAGTGTGTTTCTGCCTACTCTTTTGGATTAAAAACACTCTCAAAAGTGATCAGTTGAAAAGTAAATCTGGTTAATAGAAAAATAACTTTCTTCTCTCCTTTATAAGCCAAGTGCAACGTTACAGAACAAAACACTGTGAGAATTACATCGAAGTCAAAAACAAGCACAGAAAAAGATGGAATCTTAAATACTTAAAAAAATAATGTTCCTTTTTTTCAAAGATACTGGGTCAATTAAACGTTACTCTAACATCTTTCAGAGACAACACCTTAAGTCACAAACCACAACAGAGATAGGATTCCAAGGATTTGTCTAAAAGTTTAGTTCAGTTCTTGTGCTGCAGTAGGAAAGATCTGGCTCAAAGAATCCCATTGTAGCCATCAACAGCTTCACCATCTACTTCCCTTGAATACTTATTTTCAGCTTCTTAAAGCTCATGTTCAAACAAATGCAGAACTGTGCACTTGAAAGAAAAACCACATTTCATATTAGTAATAATTTAATGGAAGTTTAAAAATTCCCCATTTCCATTGTGCACCCATGTATACAAAACACTCCATCACCTGCAGCACCTCAGAGGAGCCTGGGAGGGAGGTGGAAGAAGAGTGGCAGAACAGCCACCAGCTTCACACACAGAATTGAGGCCCTGTAGGGAGCAACCAACTTCTCCTTCCCTCTTTTCCACATTCCCAGAAATGCAAAAGGTACTTTTAATCTGCACATGTAGAAATTTCCATCCCAACTGTCAAATACTTGTAGTGTTTATAACAGGAACTGCACTTGTATCTATACATTAGGCATATTTACACATCAGCAGGACCATGTACATCCATTTCACATCTGTGGGCATTACTTCTAAAGGAAACAGGATGCTCATTTTCAGGGCAAGTGACATTTGAACAGCAGCTTTTTCACCCCCATATGTTTCAAAGCTCTCCCCTTGGGTTGCTTAGTGAAAATCACAGACAACATAAAGAATCTCTGTACAGTTTTCAAAAAGCAATTGTCCAGGTCCCTCTGTGGAAATACAAATGGCACCTGTCTCCAGGTGAGGTACACGAGTGCACCCACAGGGGACTGCAGAGGGAAGCCTCCTCCCCTTTTCTAAAAAATATTAAGCAAAAAAAACCCCAAAAGAAAAAAACAAAACAAAACAAAAAAACAACCCATAGAAAAGTTTCTCCCATCTGAGTATAAGGAAATACAGGAATTCATATACATTTCAGTTGAAAGGCTGCCCAGGTAAACAACTCAATGAAAAGTCACACACAACAGCTCAGACAGAAATTCAGCTCCTACTTCAGAGCAGCCAACACCTTCAGCACGGTTTAGTTTCCTTCATCCAGCCTGGTTTAAAATTTTTGGGCCTAAGTCCTGGTTTGGTACCTTAGCATCCAAACATCTTAGGTATCAAAACCTCCATTTACTTCAAACTTTTGGGTGTTTTTTTTACATGCACATACACTCTTCCTGGCACTCTCCAGACAATTTCCCATTCCCTGTATGCAGTGACAGCCCAGCCAAACCAGCCTTGACTGCTCCTCCAGGACTTTTAACCCTCTAATTGATGGTTTCAGACAAAGATTTGAAACACTCCTGTGTGAACACACCCTGCCTGACAGGACACATGGCTCAGTCAGTGTAGCTGTGGAGCTGGAGGCATCTGGCTGAAACACTTTCTTGACAGATGAAGGGATGAATCATGAACACACAACACGTGAGCACGAGCACAGGCAGTTCCCTTCTGCCCAGTTCCAAAATGGACCCAACTTCTTGTTTGCTGAAATCTGGTTTCAGAGTGAAAGCTCATGGTCCTCTGGTGCACATCAGACACTTTTCACCACTCTCTAAGTGAACGAAGAACAGGAGTCAAACACATTTCTTCCCTACCCAAGACATAACAGCAATGAAGTTCTACCATTTCATAAGGCATATTTGTTGACAGTGAGAATCCAAGCACAAGCAAGAATTCTGCCAAGTCCTGTGATCCTGTAACTTCACCTTCATCTACCCAGCATCTTGAAATTCCAGGATCTCTTGCCCTATTCCTCGGGTGGAATCATCTGTCACAGTGGGCATTTTTTATTTAACACAACCAAAGTCCAGGGCTAAATAAGAAAAACAACCCTCAGCAGCTGGATCTCTGCATCATTCAAAAAGAGGGACACACAAATGACCAATTTTTGCAGTTCTCTGGCTTTATCCCATAACCTGCCTTTTTACAATACCTCTCACTATATATATAAATTAGGAAGAGATAAAGCCAATGATTAACTGCAGGGTTGATGAAAAAACTCCAGTCCGTGTTACAGTCTCTTCAGATAGGAGATCACTGAGGTGTGAAGGTGAGAATCATCCAGCTGATGACAAAGTAGAAGAGGAAGATGGGGTACACGACCAGAGCCTTGCGGTTGGGGGGCTGACTGTCTGCCAGGAAAGCTGTGGAGGCTGGTGGGAAAGAAGTAACACTGGGAATGTCAGCAGCAGCAAAATCAAACTCTAAAATTCCACTGCAGATATTAATGATTGTTAATTGGGATCTACTTTACCATGATGTTGAAAGGGAAACCAAAGCAAGGCACTGCTCCATAGCAATGGGCTATGATCACCAATTAAGACTTCCTTTAGTAATAGGAAGTTAAGTGCTGATCAACAGAAGAATTAGCATTTTCTAATAGTATTTATAACATAAATCACAGAATAAAGGACCTAGTGGAAGGGTCTTGAGGATTAAGTCCTATGGGGGGCAGCTAAGGGAGCTGGGGCTGTTTAATCTGGAGAAAAGGAGGCTGAGGGGAGACCTTATTGCTCTCTACAACTGCCTGACAGGAGGTTGTAGAGACACAAGTGCTGGTCTCTTCTCACCAGTAAGAGGTGACAGGATGAGAGGAAATGGCCTCAAGTTGTACCAGGGGAGGTTCAGACTGGATATGAGGAACAACTTCTTCACAGAAAGGGTTGTCAAGCACTAGAACGGGTTGCCCAGGGAAGTGGTGGAGTCACCATCCCTGGATGTGTTTAAGAGTCATGGAGATGTGGTTCTGAGGGACATGGCTTAGCAGTGGGCTTGGTAGAGTTAGGTTAGTGGTTGGACTTGATGCTCTTAAATATATTTTCCAAACTAAACAATTCTATCATTCTGTTATTATTGTCCTTCTGCCAAAGGCAACTGGCCCAGGACTATGACAATCAACAGAGGCAGAGACTGAATCAATGACTGAAGACAATGACTGAAAGAACTCTTCCTGCAGTGCCTCAGCAGCCCAGGAAACACCTTCAGGTGCAAAAGCCACTGGCTCTACCCCTCAGAGCACAGGCAGCTCCTCCTCCTGAAGCCTGGCAGTACCCAGCACCCACTGCCAAGCCCAAGGGTACTCACCTAACGTTGACCAAGCAAACATGGCCATCACCACAATAAGGCGAATAATGAAGCTGATGGTCCCAGAGCCTGCCAGCATCACCAGCCTACACACCAGCATTGCCACTGTCAGTGGCAGGACACAGTAACCCAGAACACACAGGCTCTGGAAAAAAGATCTGCAAAGGAAAGACAGAAACAGTGGTCAGACCAAAGCACTGCAGAACCTCCATGCAGGGGAGCAGCTTGGCTGCTCCTGCCACCACCCAGCACTCACATGGTGCCTCCGAGAAGCTTGGAGTTGAGTGTGATGACAACTGCACCAAACCAGATGATGACAAAGACCTCAGCAAACTGGGGCCCTCCATCGTCCTTGCTGTCTGCTGATCCCCCCTGCAGCATCCTGTAGGAGGAACAGACAAAAGGGGTCATTCACCAGCAGTGAGGGGAGGTTTGGGAGACTTGGAGTAGGTCTCCAAGGAGAGAAGAGGAGCCCAGACACTGACCCCCAGGCAGGCTGCAGAGCAACTGAACTGCAGCTGTTCATTTCTAGTAGAATCCTCAGGATTTGCATAGGAAAGGAGTTTGGGCTCAACTGAGGGCATTTCAGGCAATTTGCTTACTTGTATTGAGGACTGTGGAAGTACACAAGGATAAAACCATAGGCAACAGATTCAAAGATGAAACTTAAAGCAGCACAAGTTTGGTAACCTCCCCAAGCAGGCAGGTTGTGCCTGAGAAAACACAAAAGCCTCAAGGAAAGTTTCTAATAACCACAGCAGAGGAGCAGCACAAAGCCTGGAGAGGTGAGCATGCATTGATTGGAGTATTTAAAGTACACTGTGCACTTCTAAGGCTTAAGCAACATTTTACTGGGTGGTTTGTGTACACTGAGTGCATAGGTTGACAGGTCTGACCCAAGTTTCCATCCTAGTCCAGGCAGATCTGCACACACAGGCTCCAGCAGAGCACCAGAACCCCTGGGGAGCCATCACCATCTCCCATCTGTCACCTCCTACAGCAGCCTCTCTTTTCCCAGCTCTTCTCCAGGATACACAGCACATACACTGCAGCTCTGAGACAAAGGTATTGGCCTGCAGGTTGTGGTCAGTCAGCCAAATGCACCAGAAATGAGGACAAAGTGAAGTGGGATACCCCCCTCTACAATCACTAGTAAGACAGGGCACCCACAAGAGTTCACCCTTAAATCCTACATTTAAAGAAGGCAGGTCATGATGGGGTTGAAGTGTCAGAAACACATCTTCCCATAAACCTAAGCAGGCAGCATTTGCAGGATACCAGAGAAGGACCAGAGGAACTTGATCTCAACACACATAGTCAGGAATTTTTAATTTCTCGTTTCTCCAGTGTAAAAGATCATAAAAACTCAAATGCACCCTCTGGAAGTACTTACAATGCAAGTGAGACACAAAGCACCAAAGGGCCCCAGAGATCCCCTGCAGGTAAAAGAAAAAATAAAACCATAAACATATCAAGTGATGCTTCATTTCACTCTCCCCAGAGTAATAAAGAACCTTTCCCAACTCCCGAAGTATAATTTTAGGAGGCCTACAGGAAAGCTGGGGGGGACTTTTGAAAAGGGAATGTAGTGAAAGGACAAGGGGAAATGGATTAAAACTGGAAGAGGGAGATTTAGGTGACACATTAGGAGGAAATTCTTCACTCTGAGGGTGGTGAGACACTGGAACAGGTTGCCCAGGGAAGCTGTGGAAGTGTTCAAGGCCAGTGTTCCCATCCCTTGAAGTGTTGCATTAGGCCAGGTAGGATGGAGCTCTGAGCAACCTGGTCTAATGGGAAGTGTCTCTGCCCATGCAGGGGGTTGGATCTAGGTGATCTTTAAGGTCCCTCCCAACCCAGACCATTCTATGATCCTATGATTTTACATATTATTCTTCCTTGTGACTCTCCATTTAGCATCTGCCACATCATATTCTAGAACAGAATCTATGCAGATCCTGCCAACTGTTCAGGTGAGTTGTTCTACACCTTCTGGCCCGTGTTCCACCTTTTGGTAACAGGTTTTTCAAGTTTGCTGTTCAGGATTCTACAACAGAAAGAACATGGGCCAGACACTGCTGAGTCCCTGCTCCCCTGAACTCTTCCTCCTCCCATGCAGGCAAAGTCTGTTGGCAAAACATCCCCTCTACAGCTTGGAAACCCTCCCGTACGTACAGTCTCTGAGGAGTGCACTGCTCTTCTTTGGGTACATGACATGGACAAATTTCTTCCCAACTGCCTTCAGATCTCTCATCTGAAACAGAGAACACTTGGATTTAGCCCTTCATAAAAGTTACACTTCAGAACCAGAAGCAGCAAGACAGATGCAGAGCAATGTTTATGGTAAATCAAGATCCAGCCCAGAAATGTCTGTAGAGGCCCCTGCAACAACCAACACTCACTTCCTCTACCCTTCATAGCAACTACAGTATTTTATCCTTCAGTAACACCCAATTAGCAAGAATTTGTTTAATCCTGTAGGAAAAGAAAATTAATGAAAAATCATATAACCCAGGAATATTTTATCCCAAGCTCCCTTTGAGGCCTTTAACTTTGTGAAGATTTTAGGGTCACAGAGAAACTTCAGGCCATAACTCAGATATTTTTTTACCCACAAAAACACATTTTACATGGCTAGTTCTTAAAAAACACCTCCAAACTTATGAGGAAGTGCCAGTCAAGCAGAGGGATGCAAACAGGCAATGTTTGCACAACAGCTGGCCAAGGACAGCAGGAAACCAGGAGTTTTACCACAGGCACAGACTCACGATGGTGTCCCGAACAGGCTCATCCAGTGTGGAGAAGTCTTCCTCAGGAGAGTGAGACCCCACAGGAACAGTAATCTCCCCTTCCACTGGGATGTCCTCAGATATCGACACATCTGCAAGACCTGCAAACTGAACGGTTTTGAGAGCCTTTAGGAAGAAACACAGACCAGCTGGTACCCACTTCCCGCGGGGTTTAGGATGAAAACCACTGCTCAGAACGCATAGGCCAACAACACAGCCACAAATGACTCAATCAGCTCACAGATGGCAGGGCCGAGCGGACGTATATAAGTAAAGCGTTACTTTTATTCTTCAGTGACTCCCAATAACCCGCCGGGCCCTCCCCTATGCAAGGAAGTGCCCGGCCGAGCCGCACGCCCCGCCCACGCCGAGCTCCGCGGCGCTCCGGGAGGCACCAGGAACAGGAGAGGGGCGAGGGAAAGGCGAGGAAGAAGGAGCAGGAGAGGAACAGGGCCCCGCTCACCAACGGCCCCGCGGCGCCGCCCCCCCCCGCCGCCGCCATCT